AATAAAATATAATTATAGAAAAAAAAATAAAGTTAAGTGAGAATAGTTTGGGGGTTTTGTATTACTAGTTTTGATGAATGCTTACAGAGACTTTGGATTTCCATTCATTATTGCATTTTACTGCCTGCCCCCCTCCCCTCCAGTTCGCACTTTTCTTTGAAAAGTGAAAGAAAAATTCTTTCATTGTTATACAATTCTACCACAACCACCACCACCCGAAGCCCACTCCGCTATGCAGCCTTCATTCTGGACTCTTGCCATTATCTTAATACCCAATCGTGTATCACTTTTAATACTTTTTAAAAAAATAACTAATTGGACTTATACAGTGTCTTACATACAGGAGATATGCAAGGAAACTGTCAAATGGATGTCTGTGTACTCTGATGATAAGGCTTTTCTTCTCTGCGATATAGATCAGACACCATCTGTCGGCCAAGAGTATTCACCAAGTGTGGAACAGTTACCAGGAGAAGTCAACCTCAACTTATTAACCACTTCAGCAGGTATAAATTGGGGTTTCATTCAGGTGTTTCTGATGTTCATTTAAAAGGGGATAACTCTTAACCTTGGGTGCACATCAAAAAAATTATCTGAAGCACTGTGGGAAAATACGGATTTCCAGGCATCATCCCAAGTCACTTAGATGCTGTGGGGTAGAGTCTAACTAGGAATTATTTTCTACAATCTCCCCAGATAAGTCTTTGAACAGCAGAGCTAGGAGCCAAAGATTTACACCTCCGGCAAGGCCCAAAGAATCATAACTATCCCTAACACATTCCACTCCTTTCCCCTATACTCACCACCCACATGCACCAGAAGAATGTGGAGAGAATGGGAAATATCTGGCCTTAAGCCACCAGAACCTCTCCCAAGTAATAGAGCTTCTGAAAGCACAGGGTCCAGTTCCTGGGATGTCTGGGAGGTGAGGTCATTTAGGGCCGGGAAACGACAAAGCACAATGAGGTGTGCTGCATTATTAGAGCCCAAGCCCATTGTTCTTCACATCCATAGCTAAAGCGGAAGGTCACTTTGACACCATTGCTGGGTAGAACTTGGATTTCTATTACAATCTGTTATTTCTTTCCTCCAAGCTGGTCTTTCCCTGTCCTCCTCCATCCTGCAAAAAGTCCAGCCACAGAACTAAACTACTAAAGATTCCTATTAGTGGTAACCCAGCCAGAAATAATGCTGACTGTTCCAAAGTAATTGCTGACACTGGAGTAAACGGGATTAAATTCTTGCCATCCCCTAATTATTCCTTTCTAATTTCAGTCACACTTTGATGAGTGCATGTGCGCATTTCTGAGAGCAAGAGAGAACGAGAATGGAAGCTGTGGATCTATTCTTTAATGAGTTGGATAGTGCTGGACTTTGACACATGGTGGCCAGGGTGCTGTACAGGCTAGTTTAGCAGGAGCTGGTCTGACAGCTGGGTACTGCAGTTCCCAAGCCTGCTGCCCTCCTGCCCCACCACTTCAGTGTGAAGGATTTTATCCCAGGGCACTTGACCTCATTTGCCGATTTCTCATGAGGTGTGAGTCAGCATTATCAAGCTAGTATCATAGCCCACCATTCTTCCCCTGGAAGAAATATCTCAGAAATAAATTCAGCTATGCATTCATTCTATGGGTGGATGTTTATTTTCCTGTTCAATTCATAAGTCAATTTCTCCCAGTGCTTGCATTCTGTGTTGATCCTACGCCAAGTATGTCACCACAGAGCAGGTGCAGAGCAGTCAGACAGCAGCTGTGGATCTGTTGCAACGGAGTAATTAAGGGGAAGCACGAGAATGCTACAACATACAGTTTATACTGAGTATTCAGACAAATATTTGAGTGCCTGCCTGTGGCAAACACCAGATGTGTATACACAAACACACACTTATAGAATATATCTTTGTACACAATCCTATTTCCTTTAAAAGGATTCTTCGTGGCACAGTGGTTAAGTCCTTGACTACTAATCCAAAGGCTGGCATTCAAACCCACCAGCAACCCCACAGGAAAATGAAGTGGCAGTCTGCTCCCATGGAGACTACAGCCTTGGGAACCCTGCAGGACAGTTTACTCTATCTTGTGTGGTCACTGTGCATCCGAATCAACTCAAAGACAGCAGATCTGTATTTAATTTATGTGAACTGGATCTGGCCTAGTCTGCAGGGAGTCAAGCTGCTAACTAATCCAGAGACAGTGTCTCTGCCCATTGGAATCAACCAGAGGCTCTGTGGGAGAAGGATGGTCATTCTCCTTCAATGCACAGCCTCTGAAACCCTGCTGGAGGGGCGGCTCTGAGACGGTTCTGACTCTTTAGTAACCAGTTTTTTGAGATCTATCCCCGTATCTAGGGAGCTCCAATGGCATAGTCCATAAGGATTTGCACAGCTAACCCAAAGCCCACACCTCTCTCTCTTGTGGTTCAAACCCACCCACGGCAACTCAGAAGAAGCTGGACAATCTCCTTCAGTGTGGTTTGCAGCTTTGAAAACCCAGTGGAGGGTCAACTATGAGTCAGTGCCCACTTGGCAGTAAGGAGTTTTAATTGCCTTTCAATCTTCATTGACTAATTCACCACTTTAAAATAGTTGTATAAGGAAGATGTAAAGCAAAAAAGCAGGATCTTGTCACTTCAAGTGCTTTTTTTTTTTTGTACTATAAAGCCAAAAAACTTACAAATGAAAACTTGCTGGTTATAGAAAGGTCTTATTCAGGAAATTTTGAAATCCTGGTCATAGTTCTGTAATCTTTTCCTGGAACCCTAAAGAGTCATGGACTCAAGTTGACTAATATCAGACCTATTAAGTCCTCTTTAAAATCACAAACCTGTAAAGTTTTACCACCTCCAACAATGCCAGGTTAAACGACACCCAACCGGCCCCTCGGCCCCTCGTCTCAATGCTGGGCAGGCAGCCAGGGAGTGAAAGGAAGACAGCCAAGGTTCTGAAATCCTTTTCTGAAGCCAGTGAAAGGGATTTGTTTGGTATTTGAAAGCAGAAGGAGGAAAAGATAAATCGCTTCCTGGCCTCCTCAGAGCAAAGCATAACTGCCACCCAAGATCTCGTAATGTTTTACAAAGACACATGGACAAGACACGTAATTGGCAAGGGGTTGGCCTTGGCTTAACTCTGCTGCTGGGAATCAGCACTTTAGTCCGGCCTCGGGGAGGAGGAGCGCCCACAGAGGCCGGAGGACCTGGAGCTCCCACCCAAGGCTGTCGCAGGGACATCAGATGACCACGCTGACCGTCACACTCTGGCCGTGAGGCACGATCTTGCGCGGCCAGGTGAGCACAAGCTTACGCAGTTCCTCGCGGAAGCTGTCGTGCAGCCAGGCGTAGATGAAGGGGTTGTAGCAGGCCGAGCTCATGGCCAGCCAGTGGCACAGCAACTGCACCAGCCCGAAGGCGTAGGGGTCGATGATGCGCGGGTCGAGGTCGTGCAGCAGGTTGAAGATGTGGAGAGGCAGCCAACAGACGGCGAACACCACCACGACCACCACCAGCAGGCAGAAGGTGCGGCGGCGGCGCGCGCGGTCCCAGTCGGCCTGGCTCTGAGTCACGCAGCCCGGCACCACGCGGTTCCGGAGCTTCACCGACACCCGCACGTAAGACACCAGGATGACCAGCAGGGGCAGCAGGTAGGTGCCGAGCAGCAGCCCCCAGGCGTAGAGCTGGTGCTGGCGCTCCTGGGGCCCCCAGAACTCCTCGCAGAGGCGCACGCCGTGCGGCTCCAGCTCAACGTGGTAGGTGTGCGCGGCAGCGGGCAGCGCCAGCACCGCGGACAGCGCCCAGATGGCCAACACCGCGTAGGCGCTGAGGCGCAGCGAGATGCGCCGGCGCAGCGGGTGCACCAGCACGACGTAGCGGTCCACGGCGATGGTGGTGAGCGTGAACACCGACACGTACACGGTGACAGGCTGCAGGAAGAAGACCAGATGGCACAGGCCGCCGCCGAACACCCAGCCGCGCGGCTCGAAGGCGTAGGCCAGCGTGAGCGGCACGCAGGCGGCGCACATGAGCACGTCGGACAGGGCCAGGTTGCCGATGAGGAAGTTGGTCACGTTGTGCAGCCGGCGCACCCGCGCGATCACCAGCACCAGCAGGCAGTTGCCCACCAGCCCCACGACCACCACGATGGTGTAGAGCAGCACGATCAGGCCCTTGAGCTGATGCACCAGCTGCAGGCTCTTGAAGGGCGCGCCCGCCTGTGCGTCCCGCTCCGCTGCCGTCCCATTGCCCGCGGAGCTCTGGTTGGCGGGGGCTGAGGCCGCCGGGAGCCGGGAGAACAGGTCCAGGACCCCGGGACTCCGAGTGGGCCGTGAGGCCATGGGCTCCTGTCCAAAGACAATCAAAGTGCGTCACCTCCCACTCGCCAACCTCCCTCCTCTGCCACATCCTTCCTCCCCTCACCCTTTTACAGCCTCTGTTATCCCCTTTGGGGAAGATTGGCCACAGAACAATAACAACAACAGTGAAAAGTGCCGTCCTTCAACCTCTGTAAAAGAAAGCCAGCGATGGCTAGACACGCACAGGTTACTTAACCTGCAGGCTGGACCTAGGGGAGCGTCCTACCTGGTGAGAGGGGCTTGGAGGCGGGAAGTGTTCTGAGGAATGAGACCAGGACCCCTTTAGTGCCCTAAAGATCCTCCGCCGACGACGGCCCAGGCTTCTGGCTTCTCCGCGGGAACGGAATGGGATTGACAGTTCCCAGTGGGCTAACAGCTCTGGAGAGGGACTGAGAGCACCTCCCCTCTGCCCCGCCCCCTACTCCAGCTCGCTCTTGTTTGGGAGATGGGGGCGGGGCGCGTTCTGCCTGGCTCCGAGCTTGGTGGGAAGGACAATGGGGTGGGGGGAGCAGGGAAGAAAGGGGGGCAGGCCAGCCTGAGCCCGCGGGGAGGGAGAGACTCAAGCGCGGGAGCTTGCCGTGGCGTTGGCGAGTTCGGCTGTGGAGGACTGCGCCCCGGGCCCAGGGACAGGAGAGGCTTGAGCTCCAGGTTCTGAAGGAAGAAACGGAGATGAGGTGGGGATGCACAGCGAGACCTTGGGAAAGACAGCGGGCTCCAACTGAAACACTGAATCTTGTCCAGAGTCTTGGCTGCAGTTGGTAAGTCGTTTTGGGTGCTGGAGCAGAGATTTAAGACTTGGAGCCCGGAGCTCTCTGCAGATTCGGATGCGGACCTCCGGGCACTCGGGCACTCGCACTTTTTGGTGAAGCCCTTTGAACCCTTTCTTCTTCTAGACTGCAGCGTGCTCCGGGAGCCGCGAACCCCGCCCAACCGAGTACGGATTCAGCACCACGGATAGCGCCCCGCGGGTCCCGCTTCTGCTGCTTGGGTTCCTGGGAGGGATGCAATTAGGACCAGGCCTTAAAGAGACCTGATTCACCATCTCCTTCCCGGGCTGGGGTCGCCGCACCAGAGAAGCATAGAATGGGCTGGAGAAGGACGAAGGAATGGGGTGATTTGTGTTCCAGTTGTGGGTCACCACAGGTATGTCGTGTCAATGACAACATTGTGTCCTACCTGATGACCCCACACAAGCATGCTTTAACCTCCACCTCATCACCTCCCTACTCGCCCTTGCCTCTCAGGTACCAGGACCTTTCCCTTCTCTCCTCGCTTCTCCCAGCGCAGACCATAAAGTCCTGGACTGCACTCATTTCTTCATCTTGGAATAAACACATTCCAGTCTCCTTACCAAATTTTCAGATTTCTTTTTAAATGTTCATAATTGTAGGATTTCAAATAAGATAACAAAATGGCAAATGTCAGAGAGATTAAAGTTGCATAAATCATCAGTTGTTAATTAAGTTCTTACTGAAATGTAGATTGACCTACACTGGAAGTGGAGGTTGTAAGCTGTCTCCTTTTTGTTGACTGATGGCCATTCCCATACTCACAGAACCCTGTTGGGGGCCAGAATGTTCCCCTCCACAGAGTTTTGCCTGGCTGATTTTTGGGAGTGAATCTCCAGGCCTTTCTGTCTAGTCTTTCTATTGGAAAACTCTACTGAAATCTGATCACCATCATGTTGCTGTTAGGTGCGGTCAAGTTGAGTACCACTCATAGTGACTCTATGAATAATAACTCTGAACTCTGTTCTATCCTGCACCATCCTCATAATCTTTAACACACTCAAGCCCATTGCTACAGTCACTGTGTTAACCCACCTGGTTGAGGAGCTTCCTCTTTCACTGTCCCCCCCACCTTTCCAAGCATCTTATCCCTCTCCAGCGAACAGCCTCTCCTACCAACATGTCCAAAGTATATGAGATGAAGCTTCATCTTTGCCTCCAAGGAGCACTCTGACTGCTCCTTCTCCAAGACATATCTGTTTGTTCTTTTGGCTGTCCATGGGATATTCAATGCTCTTCTCTAAAGTGGTGGGTTCACCATCATAGTAACCTGCAAATCTCCGCTGAAAAACAAGTGATGTCTGTTGATTAGGTCCACTGACTAGGAATCAAAGCAGTGCTTCCTGCTTAAAAGGCAAAAATTCAACCATCAAACCATGCCTTAGAAGCTCTTAGAGGAATTTTTCCCTCCCACATCCTCTCAGGGGGTGGAATTTCATGGGTTCCTACGGAAAGCCAATACTAAATATTTGTAATAAATGGAATGCTATTTCAGGAAGGAATTCACCCTGAGGCACTAAGGCAATCCTTAAGGGATTACCAGATTCTTTGCATTTGCTGACCCCTCCCTCCTGAGTCAAGGGGAAGCTTTTCAATAGAAAGAGCTTGGCCTCATTTGCATTGAATTCTCTTTGTGATTTTTCTTCTTGATAATTTGCAGTAAAGATACAAGGTACCTCAGGTCGGCCCTTCAGTCAAGAACTGCTGGCCCCCTGTCTTTATACTCTCTGTTCTATCTCATTCCTGGCTTTCTGTCTCATTATTAATAATTATAAAAATACTTTACCCTCGGTCTGGAGCAGGTTCCCTTTGCTAAGTCTCTATACTTTATCCTCTGTGAAGTGCAGACATCCAAGTTAGGCTGGAGGAAAGTGATAAATTATTCCACCTTCTAAATTCAAGTGAGTCTCTTATTCAGGAGGAAAAGTCAACATCAGAATAAAAGCAATCAATTTCATGGCACTGTATCCATCCTAAACCTGAGTTTTAATAAATTTAGCTAAAGCTGCTGTGACTTTTTAAAAAAATCCAAATAAGATACAGTCTGTACTTGCCTAGTGCCCAGTCATTTTTCTCATTTTCTACCAAGTCTTTAGACCAACAGAGCAGAGACAACTTTTTGCTTCAAAATGTCATAAGCAGAGGAAATTGTGGTAAAATAGGAGAAAGTAGCTGAGATATAGCTAGAATCTATAACTAGCACCACCTTTGGGATTAACAGAATAAATAATACTAAAGTTAATAATAACAAGATAACCTTATCAACAACTAAAGGCTGTGAAAGTCAGAACGTCCCACAGTAGGATGTTCTCTAGAGACGATAACTGGTCATTTTCCAAGTGTTGAATGAAGCTAGGTGGGAGTTTAGTGTTATCAGTTTTTGTGAGGTGAAAAGGAGAGTGAACAGTTTAGTATAGCAGTATTTCATCTTGTTTTTACCTTTTGTTCTCTCTGATTGTCATAGAAGTTAAGGGTAGCCCTCTGCCAGCTAAGACATCACCTTAAATCATACAAATGTGCAGCATTTCCTGTGCTAATAGTGCCCCCAAAACCTGAGATCATAAGGAAAACAGAATAAATAAGGAAGGGCGTTGTTACGTGTCATTGAATTAGAACCAACTCTAAGCTGACAGTCTAACAACTTTTCAGATGCTGTAAGTCACATGAGAAGAGGTTACCCATCTGTTGGAGTGGCTGTTGGATTCGAACCTTGTGCCTTTGAGTTAGCAGCACAGCTCCTTACCATCAAACCACCAGAGCTCCCAATACATTACAAAGTAGACCTCCTCTGCTCCTCCCCAAACTTAAATGGTTCATCAAACTAAGGTCTTTAGTGTGGCGTTCGTGACCAACAAGCACCCCGCTCTGATGCTTCTTCTTTTTTTTTTTTTTAATCTGACTTACCACTTCTACCCTGCTTCTTTCACTTCCTGCACTCAAGCCTGGGTGTGTGTGAGAGTATGAGAGAGAGTGTGTGTGTGTGTGTGTGTGTGTGTGTGTGTGTGTACACACACCAGGAGGTAGGCTCCCTCTGTCAGTATGAGCCACACGCCAGTTCTAGAAGTGTCACCAGATCGCAGCAGGGGCATGGTAGGCATCACAGCAGGCTGGGCACCAATGGCAAGACAGGCAGTGGAGGAATTGCCATGACAGCAATTTCTATGCAGTAGTCAAGAAAATCCCATACTTATCCCTTGAATGACAATGCAAAGTGCTTTCTGTCATGCTCCAGACAGCATAATGATCACTTCCAGCTCTGCCATGGACATACTAGTAATTTCGCCCTGCACGACACCTTTGCCAAACGCGAGTGAAAGCTTTCAAGCTGCTGCCCAGAAACAGGCAGTTGTTGACTGAGTTTGTCTTTCTATATTTTCAAAAGTCAAAAGTGAGACCTGAATGGCCTGTTGTCTCTAATCCAGAGGCACCTCTGGGTGGCACATGGAGCTGTGTACACTGCCCCGCCTCCTGTTAAACTGGGTCCATACTGCATCCCATCCCTTTGGACATCGAGGCCACTCAGCCCTTTTTAGTTAAGCTCTTGACTGGGTCCTTAACTGTGCAAGGGTATTTTTTTTTATTTTAATGAAAGTTTATAAAGAACTTGGATTTCCATTCATTCATTGTTGCATATTTCCCTCCTGTTCCTTCTACCCCACCCCCCACCCCAGTTTGCTTTCTTCCTTTGGAAAAAAAGGTCTTTCATTGTTATACAATCCCCCTCCCAGACCCCTTTACTGTGCAGCTCTTATTCTGGACTCTCGTCATGCCAATAATACCTAATCATATATTCCTTTTATACAGTTCTCTCCCTTGTCTGTTTCAATATCATGTACATTATTTATCCCCTCTTTACAATTAATCATCTTTTCAATGTGTATTATAGGAAAAGCTCTGTGTCTCAATGGAAACATCGTTTTTACTTAGTTCTTTTTAAAAAATTTTTATTATGATTTGAGTGAAAATTACACAGTGAATTACTTTTCCATCCAATTCCTACACATTTCATTTCTTGACACTGAGTGTAGCCTTCAGAACATAACAGCACCTGTTCCAATTTCTCCTGTATTTACCACTTCCACTCATCCTTCCTTCCCATCTTTTCTTGCCTTCTGAATTTTGTCTCTGAGCAAATGATCCCTTTTGATCTCATATGGTTGATGGCTCTAAGAAGGGAGAGAATTTCTCCCAGGTGTTATTTATAGGCCTGTTTATTGTCTAGCTGTCTATTGATTATTGGGGTTTTTTTTTCTTATTTATTCATTGTTGCACATTTTCTCCTCTCCCTTCTTTCCCCCTCCCCTACCCCACTCCACAA